GAGAAAGAGAAAAAAAATCCCATTTAAGATTGTGTCAATAAAAATAAAATACCTAGGAATAAACTTAACCAAGGAGGTAAAAAAAACCTATATACTGAAGACTATAAAACATTGATAATAGAAATGATCATTCGAAGAAATAAATATTCCATGCTCTTGGATGGGATAGAATTCTTGGAAGAATTAATATTGTTAAAATGACCACATACCTAAAACAATCTACAGATTTAATGTGACCCCTATCAAAACAGGCATGAGATTTTTCTGAGAACTGCAACACATTATCCTAAAATTTACACGGAACCACAAAAGATGCAGAATTGCTGAAGATATTCTGATGAAAAAGAACAAAGCTGGAGGCTTTAGGCTATACTACAAAGCTAAAGTGATCAAAACAGTGTGGTACTAGCACAAAAACAGATACATAGATCAATGGAACCAAATAGAGAGCCCAGAAAAAAAACCCACACACCTCTGGTCAATTAATCTATGACCGAGGAGGCAAGAATATACAATGGAGAAAAGACAGTTTCTTCAATAAGTGATTCTGGGAGAGCTGAACAGCTGCATGTAAATCCACGAAAGTAGAAAAATCCCTTACACTATATGCAAAAATAAGCTCAAAATGGCTTAAAGATCTAAATATAAAACATGACACCATAACGTTCCTAGATCAGTCTCCCAACGTGAAAGGAATAAAAGCAGAAATAAACAAATGGGTTCTAATCAAACACAGAAGCTTTTGTACAGTAAGGGAAATCATCAACAAATTGAAAAGACAACCCATGGAACGGGAGGAAATATTTGCAAACCATGCAGCTGATGAGGGGATGATAACCCAAATACACAAACAGCTCATACAACTCAATATTTAAAAAAAAAACCATTCAGAGGGGAGAATATAGCTCAAGTGGTAGAGCACATGCTTAGCATGCATGAGGTCCTGGGTTCAATCCCCGGTACCTCCTCTAAAAATCAATAAACCTAATTACCTCCCCCCCAAAATAAAAAATAAGTAATACAATAATAAGTAAATAAAATATTTAAAAAAATTCAAAAATTGGGCAGAAGACCCAAAAAGACATTTTTCCAAAGAAGACATACAGATGGCCCACAGGCACATAAAAAGATGCTCAACATCACGAATTATTAGAGAAATGTAAATCCAAACTACAACAAGGTACCATCCCACACAAGTCAGAATGGCCATCATCAAAACATCTATAAATAATAAATGCTGGAGAGGGTGTGGAGAAAAGAGAACCCTCCCACACTTTCGGAGGGACTGTAACTTGGTGCAGCCACTATGGAAAACAGTGTGGAGTTTCCTTAAAAATCCAAAAGTAGGTCCAGCAGTCCGACTCCTGGGCATATATACCCTAAAAGGGTAAAACTCTAATTGGAAAAGATACATGGACTCCGTTGTTCATAACAGAATAATTTACAAGAGCCAAGACATGGAAACAACCCAAGTGCCCATCCACAGGCAATTGGTTGAAAAAGATGTGAGGGCAGAGGGAAAGCAGTGAGTGGTTGCCACACACCCTTGTGGCTTCAACTCCTCTGGTTAGAGGCTCACTCCCCTTCTCAGGGCTTCAGATGCCTGCCTGGCTGGCGCGGCCATCACAATGCCACCTCGACATTACCACCCAGGAGCTGGTGTTGGTAAGAAGGTGAAAAAACAAACGGGGTTGGGGGTGAGGTTTCAGGAAATTTATTTCTGTTCCTTGGACCAGAGGAATTCTCTGGAGCCTTTTCTGTCCACACTGGGTGCACTTCTAGGTTTCAAGGTGGGCAATCCTGGAAGTAAAAAAACAGAAAAAAGGTAAACTCACCGTGGAATGTTGAATCTGACATCCCTGCTTCATCTGCCTGCTGTTACTTACTTTCAGTCCTCTGAGATCCGCTCTCTGCCTCTGTCCAGGATTTATAGTTGTGATCATGGGGAGAAACCAGTGGGCGGTCCTCGCTCCATCGTCCCAGGACTGTCCTCTTGAAACCGCATCTCTCCTGACCCCTCACTTGCTTCTCCGTGGACCTCATCACTGTCCACCGTGCCACACGTTGCATGTCGTCCGTGTCCTCTCACTGGGATGGAGGTCCCCACAGGCAGGGCCACGCTGGACCACTGGTACCCCCAGCGCTCGAACATCCCCAGCAAATACTTGTTGAATGAACGAGCCAGGCTGCAGCCAAGGCTTGAAAGCTGGGTCTTGTCTTCTCAGTCCTACACTCTCCTCTGAGGGCCCCACTTTCTCAGCACTCCTCAGACAGGCAGGAAGGCATGCCCACCCCCTCCCTTTGGTTGGCAGAAAGGCCCCGCAGCATCTCAGTCTGGCGGCTCCTCATCACGCAATCTGTACCCAGCCCAGGCCAAGCAGCCTCGTTTTAACACAAAGCCACCGCCTCTACCAGGGCTTTCGGCTTCCACTCCTGCATCCGCAGCCATAAGTGAGTTTAAGATATAACCACACTTCGAACTCTCCAGTGATTCCCACTCCTCAGGACTCAGGACCCAGCCCCTCCATGCTGCTCTGCTTCACACCTGTTTGCTGTTCTGTGCAGATCGGTTCTTTCCTGGCTCCTCTGCCTGGAATGCTCTCTCCCTAGGAGTCAAGAAAGCTAAGTCCTCTGCATTCTGCTGTTTCTCAGATGTCAAGCCTGAAGGACTATCTCCAGACCCCCACACCTGCCTCCCACCAAAAGTCGCTGCCCTGTCACCTTCCATCTCTCTCTATCCCATTATTTCCCCCTTTCCTAGTGGCCAGGATGAACCAGAATAGCTTGAGTTGTCTGTGTCATCTGTTGGCCTAAATATGAAGAAGTAAATTGAGGAAAGCCCCAAAGATGAGTTTATTCAGGACTAAAAGAGGAGCTGCAATTCAGGAAACTCTGTAGCAAGGTCCAGGAGGGTCTGTTGAGGGTTTGAAGCAGGTTGTATTAATGGTCAGGGAGAGTGTGGTTCGGGTCAGTTAAAAATCAAAACCAGAAAGGGACCAGCCTTGAAAACTTGCCAAGCAGAAAAAATCCATTCAGCCACACAAACAAAGCTCATTTCAGCCCACTTCGTGAGACCAACCCAACCTGGGTCATCTTTGATTTATGCCCCAGGCAAAACTTCCCAAGTTTTCATACAAGACAACTTGTGATCAACCACCCATTATCTGGGAAAATTCCTACACTATCAGCTTTCTGTCATCAGGCATTGATGGGAATTTGTTACCAAAGCAAACTTGGGTGCATCCACCTGGGTGCAGGGAAGGCAGGCTACCGGCACTGGCTACGGCGAAGGAAAGCACAGCGTTTATTGCAGGGTGCCGAGCAAGGAGTCCAGGCAGCTAGTACTCAAGAGACCTGAGCTCCCTGATGGCTTTCAGGGAAAAGTTTTTAAAGACAGAGTGAGGAAGGGGGTTGTGTCTGTCTGATCAGCTCATGGACATCCTTCTAATCGGTTGGTGGTAAGGTGGTCAGGAGTCAACACCATCATCCTTCTGGTTCCAACCGGTCTGGGGTCTATTGCTGGTGGGCAGCACGCACTTAGCTTTTCCCATCCGGTGGGGATTTCAGTGTCTGCAATGAAGCTCCAAGGACATGGCTCAGAATATCATCTAGAGCCCATGAGAAGAAAGTTAAGGTCCTTGACTATGTTTAATGGCTAAACTATTTCGTCTTGCTTGGCTTTTTCCCTTTGGTTCTGCATTTTCCTACTTAGATTAAACTTATTCTTTGGAACTTAGGGAAGGCCTAGGAAAGTTCTTCTACAAAAGAGAGGCAGGTGGAGGACATGGTTTGGTGGGGTCGGGGGTGGGAGGTGTCTAACCCAGGAAGGTCCCACAGGTCTCGCTCAGTCTTCTTAAGGGCACATGTGTGAGATTCTCCACTTGATACCCTCCAGTCCTATTTTAGGTTGAAATTCTTTCACATATTCCTTTCCCCACTGGAGTATCAACCCCCCACCTGGCTCCCTGATGGACCCCTGGGGCAAAGGGACAAAAAGTAGACGCCTCCAGCCTTAGGGTGGAGAGCCTCCATCTCGGGGGCTCAGAGCTGGGAGCCCCTACGCTGGGTAGGCAGCAAGGCTGGAGGGAGGGGTGTCAGAGTCTCTCTCGCCTCGCTTTTTTTTTTCATTTTTTTCTAATTGTGTATCTGAAAGTATCCTGCACTTAACACAGGTTATTTGTATAATCAGAATGCCTCTTTATGTGTTTTTTTATTGTTGTTGCTGTTTGGGAGGAGGAGGGAGGGAGGGAATTAGGCTAATTTATTTATTTTTAGAGGAGGTACTGGGAATTGAACCCCAGCACACACTTTACCACTTGGGCTACACCCTCCCCCCACCACAAGCTTGAAATGGCCTCCCACCCACCCTTGTCCATTTTCAGAAACGTGGCAGCGGGTGGGAAGACGTGGGGGACCACAGATGGGCACAGTGGCCTCTGCTCCTGGGGCCTCTTGGGGACATGCATCCAGGATTTCTTTTTAAAGGTGGTTCCCGCTGGAAGGAATGAGCCTGGCTTGGGTGAAGGCAGAGCGGGAGAGCGTAGCCAGATGTGGGATAAGGATGCAAAAAAGGGGCACGAGAGGAGAGAGACCCCTCTGGCCCTCCCTGGCCCAAGCAGCCAGACCTTCAGCTCCCAACTGTCCTGGAAACCCCGCTCTGCCCAGCTCAGACCTCGCCCCACACTGTTGCCACTTCCCGCAAGGCCAGACCTCTTCTTTCCCCAGGGCCAGAGCCCTCACCTGCTCCCTAGCTCTGCCCACAGCAACCTTTCCTCCTCCTCCGTCCCTAGTGGAGAGGGTGCCACAGCCCCTCCGAGGCTGGCTGTCGGCCACAGGCTTCCACAGGGCTCCTGCATCCCGCAGCTCCCCTTGAATCGAGCAGTGTCCCTACCGAAACTCAGGCTTGTCCCCGGTTGTGCTGAGTGACTAGTGAATGTGGCTGGGATTTTTTGGGGGGTCTGGGAACAGGGAGGGGCCGGACGGGGCTGGGAGCCCCAACCTTAGGGGGAGTCTCCCCCTGGAGAGCCCTGCTAGCCCCCACCTCCCAGGTTTGCCGCAGGCCCGGATTCTGCCCTTCAGGCCCAGCCCTGCTGGGGCCCCACCCGGCCCCGCCCAGCCTGGGCTCCGGGCCGTGGGGACCGGAGGCCGCTGAGGCTATTTTGAGGCCAGCTCCTGGCCAGCCTTGCGCACGGAGCCCTGCTACTGGCCACCTGCCGCCGCCTGTCAGGCCTGGAATGCTGATCGGCAGTTGGCTGGGTGGGGGCTGGGGACAGACTGTTATAAAGCCAGGGGCGCTGGAGGGGCACCTGTCGCCGTCGGGAACCTGCCACAGCCCCCACCGGCACCATGTCCGCCCACCACCGCCTGGTGATGGTTCGGCACGGCGAGAGCACCTGGAACCAGGAGAACCGCTTCTGCGGCTGGTTCGACGCGGAGCTGAGCGAGAAGGGGGCCGAGGAGGCCAAGAGGGGCGCGCACGCCATCAAGGATGCGAAGATGGAATTTGACATCTGCTACACGTCGGTGCTCAAGCGGGCCATCCGCACCCTCTGGACCATCCTGGACGGGACGGACCAGATGTGGCTGCCCGTGGTGCGCACCTGGCGCCTCAACGAGCGGCACTACGGGGGCCTCACCGGCCTCAACAAGGCGGAGACGGCGGCCAAGCACGGGGAGGAGCAGGTGAAGATCTGGAGGCGCTCCTTCGACATCCCCCCGCCCCCCATGGACGAGCACCACCCCTACT